GGAACCAATATAATGGTTCAAAGTAGGTCTCGCCTCTTAGCTGGGGATCTGGGACACGTGGTCTGAATTCGGGAATGAGGGTCGTAAGTTCTAAAGTAGGGGACGAGGGCCTCAAGCGGTGGGATGGAGGCTAATTTTTTCGTAACACCGATATACTTTCGTTAGTGACATCTCCTCGAGCGAGGGTATCCTAATCAGCAAACTATTTTCTAACCATTCCTTCGGTCACGTTGAAATAGTAGCTTTCTGCTCGGGCATCTCCAGGGTGACAGGGGTACCTGCTCTTATCCATGGAACTTTTGGGGTGCACGATATCGATTTGTTGGATTGCTAAGCGAGGGTCGGGATTGCGACGTTTCGCCTATGACTTTTTGCTTACTATTGTGTGAAATGCTGTGAGATTTCGGCGGTTGTGATCCTGCTTGCCTATTTATAAGTGATCATAAGGGCGGTAATGTTTGGGGTGGGAGGCCTTCAAGCCGGTTGTTTGTTCTGAACCATTTTTCTTTTTTGTCTTTGCAATCAACGGCAGTATACGCTGGAAAATTGGAAGTCATTGTCATGAGGAGTAGAGGGAATGGGCATTTTCATGGATAGTGGACGGTCAACTTGCTTCGAACGGTCGAGTGTCAAAGCAGCTCCTACATTTGGGCGACGTGACGGCTAGCTTGAAGTGATTTCCTGGTTCCAAGACAACATTTCTAGTATGTCTTGCGACTGAAGTTTGAGATAACTCTGCGGGAGATGACGGTCTTATCAGCTTCAGTGTTCCTACAGGATTTCATAGCTTTTCTGGAGAGCACAAGCGCTGGATTTGTGTTGCTTCCATTTGGAAGAACCGCAAAAGTTCCGCAGTTTGATTTGCTCAAGAAGACGCTCAGGAGCTCTATGAAAACCCATTCATGGCATCTGCTTTGTGGACCCTAGGTTTTATGTGGATATTCTGGCTGCTGAACATATCTCTGGGAGATAGGTCTGTGTGCATTTCGACAAAGTAGCCGCAGCACTTCGGTAGACGGATTTCTCACAACAACCTCACTCATGCATAGCGGTGAGTATTTCTAAGATTTTTGACGAAACTGGAGGAAATTTAGTCAGTACTCTTGGATTTTATCTTACTCACTAGGATTATTTGTGAAAGCGGTTTCCACAGAGTTCCCGTTGAGGGATGAGGAGACAGCATTATAAACGTAAAGTACTGTTCAGTTTTATTTCCAAGAATAACATTCAGCAGACAGTAGATATGGCTGAAATCAGGTGATTCAGGAAAATCGATGGGGTGCGCACGTATTGATTTGTTTTCTGTTCGGCTGGGTGAGTGGAGCAAAGTGGGTGCCAATTCTCCTTCTTACCACTTAACTTTTTCATCACATATGCCTCCATGTTACCCTTTTTCGCACCTCTTGATGGATTGCAGACCTTAAAAGCCTTGAAATGAAAAACTGGTATCCGCCAACTTTGAGATTCCCCCTGAGCATCGTAAAACTCATAGTATCAAGCGAGTTGAGTTTACAGAAGTCTTAGTTGGTCTTCCAAGGATTTTCTTCACAAGCTATCAGTCTCGACTTCTACTTAATCTCATTCGTCCAAAAACTCCTTGTCTCATCTAACGCAACCTAGTCGGAGCAGAGGTGAAAGGAAAATTGGAGGTAGCGGATTCTGAAGAAAGGGTATGTGCCAGAATGCGTCATTGTAGTCACTCGGTTCTCGCACAAACGGTGTTCTATATTTTTGAAAAAGTGGAAGAGGATGTGCCGTGCCTCCTTACATTGCGAATTCAAAGAAATGGATATCAAAAGGACAAACAAGTTTCATGGACAATTCAGTCTTAAGATTGATAATTCTTGTAGTTTTCTCGTATGGGAATTGTTTGCCTCTTCGATAACTCCAATTCATCGGAGCTACTCGAAACATACCACGCGAGTGCTAGTGTTGATGAAGTCATGCTCTAAGAGAAAGCATGGTTTCTTCGTTGTTCTTTATCCAGGGATTGATTGAAGAGGTGAAATAATTGCGTCGATGCTAGAAATGAAATCTGATCGCAAAGTTTGCTATGTCATCTTGGCAAAGGTCGAAGCCGCGCTTCCTGATTTGCTTCTTGAGCTATGTGTACAGTGCCGTATAGTCAACAGTCTCATATTCTCTTCCATGCATTTCCAGCTGTGAGGGTCAACCTTCTCGTCAAGATTGTACTTTCAATTGTCAGAATGAAGTAGGAATAGTCCGAGAAACACGGCATCATTAGGGGTTTTTTTGGGAGCAGTGGATTTTTCTGTCATCAGTGGTCTGCCTGATGTCCATGTGAAGCCGCCTCGAGGCTCTCTCGGAATCGACTTGATTGTTCGCTTTAGGTGATCTTCAACATNNNGATTTCGGGCAAAGTTGATCAAATAGGGTGAGACATCTGGTTGCGATTCGATTCCGAAGCAGTTTGTTCACCTCAAAAGTTGCTTGAAAAAAAAAAAACCAATGTCACTCCTACGGATTACTCCGCCGTTTCGCCATGCTTGAGCTGGACAAGCGAATCCAGTGTTAATTCCCGCATCGACTTATTGTCAACTATATCTACTGTCTGCTGAATGATTTTTTCTGATGCAGATTTAGCCAATCCCGACCAATTTTTTGATTTCAACCCAAAAAGATCAATGGTTCCGGTAGATTTTGATCCACAAATTTCCAATGATACTGGAGTAGGTCTCACGTCTCGTTCGAACCAAACCCAGCCTTTTCAATGCAAATCTCTGAGGGTCGGCATTTTTCTCTTCAGAGCTTCAGCTCTCTTTTCCCTCCCCACATCTCCTCTATCCGCTCAGGGACTCAGGGCACAGTACACGATAATTTTGAGGTGCCTTTCTAAAATATTGGCGAATATTTGAATCGGTGGCAATGAAAGTAAAACTCACCGAAACACAAGGTTTCCTCAAACGGGATTACCTTGACGGAAATGGCATAGAAGTGTATTCGGACGAGATTATTGCAGTTGGGTAAAGAGAGACATCAAGCCAATAATCCCAAAATTACTTTCCACTGTCGGCATGGATTACGACAAGTTTGAATTTCCAACACGGGTATCCCCTGTGAATGGTGTAGCCTCAACAACGCCGTTGAAACTCGTCCTCTTTAGTTCTTGAGTTATCCCGCCTTGGGTGTACAGCCGATGCAGCGTTGGACAATTATAAAGCCCTATCTAGGCCAGTCTTCGACGTTAAACCCATATGCTAGGGACCACGGATTCATTCCACGGGGAAATCTCAGCAACCATTTTTATCGTAAACTGTGCCTTTGACGTCCATCCTTTGCTAGTCCCTATCGGGTTTTCTCGACTTCTGAAACGTGCTGTAATGAGTTGTCGTTCCTCAGTTTTGTCCTCGCCATCTCTGTGGGCACTTCACCTATTCCGGGCCTCTTGTCCTTCGACCTTGCCTCTAGAACTTCCTAGAATGGGACTGTTATTTTTGATTTTAAATCCGCTAGCCTTGGTTGATACCCCGTCTTTTATAAGGTTTGATCCCTAATCTTTAGCTAAACTCCACACAGTTTTTTGACGGGTTTTAGAAAACGAATGCAGAGGTTCCACTCCAGGTTTTGTCGCTGCCCAGCTACTTACGCACTTCGCAGAGTATTAATATTTGCCCTCGACTTGCACTTTTAGTGTTATCCACTTTTTTCTTGGGATCTAGGACTTTCGGAAATGGAGGGTCATTTTCAATTTTCCTCCCAAAAGTTGTCCTTCGCAAGTCACCATACCCTAGCCTTTAAGACGTCTTGGGACGGAGTTGTCGTTTCAATTTTGATCGCCTTTTTCTATAAGCCGCGCAGACGAGAGCATTAGGTATCCACTCATCTTCTAATTTCTGTACCTTGTCTCCGGTCTCTGAAGATTCCTTGAACAGGGTTATACATTTTTGAATTCAGCTCTGCCCAGCCCATCACGGTCCCTCTCACTGAAATCATTTGACCCTATTACTTTGCCGACTCTATGTTAGTAATGCCGGTCTCTAGAGCGTACTGGAATAGTAAAGGGATTTTTATTTTCCCGTCTTCGACCCCGTTTCCCTGTGCTAAGGGGGCGGAAATGAAATTGAACAGTACTCTCTGTGGAAACTACTTTTCAAGAAACTTAGTTATTACGATACGATCCAAGAGTACATGCAGATTTCCTTCAGTTCTGTCAAAAATCTTAGAAATGCTCTTTGCCTGCAAGTGTGTGGTCGTTGTCGTGGAATTCGTTTATTGCAATGCAGCAAAGACTTTGTCAAACTTCACAGAAGACCATCTTTTCAGAGATTTGTCCAGAGCCAGAACGTCCACACAAATCCAAGGGTGTACAAAGAACTGTCATGAGAGTTTTCTATAAAACTTCTTAGTGCCTTCTGAGCATTGAGAGCTGTGGAATTTTACTGTTTTTCTGGCAAAAGCAGCATGAATTCAGGGTATTCGTGGTCTCTGATAAAGGCTGTGAAACCGTAGGAGTACCGGTGTTGGCAAGGCTGTTAACTCTCGCGGAGTTTTCCCTTACTTCATTCGGAGAACTTACTAGGAAATGCTGCTTTTGGGCCAAAAAAATCGCTTCGACTGTGTCGTTGAGTTTTCCAAATGTGTGGGCTGTTTTGATGCGCGAATGTTTGGAGCATCTTAGCCGTTCAGCGTCCATAGAAACCGCCCATTCCCTACCGTCCTTGTGACAATAACTCTCAACTTTCCAGTACATCCTGCGGTTGGGAGCTCTGACGAAGAAGAAGAATCGGTCAGACCATACAATCAGTTTGACGGCTGCCTTCACATACCCCAAACGTGACCATCGCTGATGATCTCTTACTAATAGTCAAGCGGGACTATAACTTGCCAGAAATCGAACGGCATCTCGTACAGCAGTTGCGCAAAAGTCGCATGCGAAACGTTCCAATTTCGCCCCTCGTTTTGCAGTCAGCAGA